TAACTTGCATGAAATCATCTATTACGTTAGATATAGACTGGATACCTCGTACTGAAAATGACAGAGCTGATCTTTTGTCTAAAATTATAGATTATGACGATTGGGGAATCTCTGTACAGTTATTTGAAATAATTGATAAACGTTTTGGGCCCCATGCGCGCTTTCAATTATAAGTTGTCTGTTTTCTATTCCAGATTTTGGAATCTTGGCACTACTGGAGTTGATACCTTCACTGAAGATTGGCATGGTGTTAATGGCTTATTTGTACCACCTATTTATTTAATAAGTCGTGTTCTGAAACACATGGAGAAATGTAAAGCCCGTGGAACTGTTGTTATTCCCTATTGGAGATCTGCGCCATTTTGGCCTATATTGTGTCCATCGGGGACAGTCTTTGCTAGTTTTATCACTGACTATATAGATTTGCCAATCTTAAAATCATTTTACATTCCGGGCTGTTTCAGTAAAAGCATGTTTGGGAATTCAGATTTAAAATTTCGTATGCTTGCGTGTAAAGTATCATTTGTGAAATAGGTTGATTAGAATGTATCAAGTTTAGAAAGTATTTTTGGAAATATTGAAACTGTTTGTCACTGATGACGAACTTGATTTGGGGAAATATATGTTGATGAGCACTGCCGAACGGTTCGTCACTGTTAATGATACGGCGCTGAACATTTTGTTGTCACTGTTGACAAAAGTATTATTTTCGTCACTGTAGATGAAAGCTGACAAAAAATGTATTTTTTCGTCACTGTAGACGAAATTTTTATTATGAATTATTCTCGAGACTATAGTAAGCCTTATTATTATTCTAGTTTATTATTTGTGTAAGAAACTAATTTATTTATTTTTTTTTTTTTTTTTTGTCTTTTACATATATTTATGCAGAGCCATCTGGAGGAAATACAAGAGCTGCCTGAATGTCTAGTTGGTAAAATAAGAGCGCTAACTGATCTGCTGGACGATTCTAAAGCTAAGAATACAGTTTTGAAGTATAGTAGAGGTTTTATGAAATGGAAACGGTGGGCATTCGCTCACGATATTTTAAGTAGAGACATTTTACCTGCTAAGGCTCTTCATGTGGCTTTGTATTTAACTAGCATTATTCAAGATGCTAATTCTCCAAGTCCTGTTATTTCTGCATTCTATAGTATTAAATGGGCGCATGATATGGCAGATTTGTCGTCTCCTACTAATTCTTCTATAGTAAAGAATATGTTGGAATCAGGGAAACGTAAACTGTCCAAACCTGTGGGGAAGAAAGAGCCCATTACAGTCGAGCATTTAACTAAAATGTATCACAGTTTACATTTCGTAGATAATCTTTATAATCAAAGAACTATTTGTGCCTGTATACTGGCTTTCGCTGTTTTTTTACGATCTAATGAGTTGCTGAATTTAAGACGATCTGATTTTCAGGTTTTACCTACACATATGAGTATTTTCATTCAAAAGAGCAAAACAGATATCTATAGAGATGGATCGTGGGTTCAAATCGCAAGAACTTTGACGGATCTGTGCCCAGTTAAAATTACAGAAAAGTATTTTACTCTTGCCGGCTTTGGTGTTGATTCCGATGAGTTCATTTTTCGAAAGTTAACAAAGTGCAAACATGATTACCAATTTCGATGTAATAAACCACTATCGTATACTCGTATGCGAGAACTTTTCATTGAAGCCTTTAAACCTTTTGTCGATGATATATCCTCTTATGGACTACACAGTTTACGTTCCGGTGGTGCTACAGCATGTGCTAATTTAGGTGTTACGGACAGATTGTTTAAACGACATGGGAGGTGGAAATCAGAGTTTGCAAAGGACGGTTAACATATAAAAGATAACTTAAGTGAACGCTTAATTGTATCCCAGAATCTAGGAATCTAATTTGTATAATATCCCGTTCTTTGGATTCAAGGCGATGTGCTGTACGTGCTCCATTGCATAATGGTGTTTGTGTTTTATCTAGCTGTATGTTTGGGCATGTGGTGTTCAGGAGAACATCTAAAGTTGATTATGGTCTTGTTTTGTGAATAAATGTCTAATTAATAGTTTATATAACAATCCAGGTCCAAAGAAAGACCCGCAACATGCAGGTTTAGCTCTTGTATAATGTAATTTGAAATACACTGTATATTTATATTTACATTACTACAATATAAACAATATTACGCAGTAAAAAGACACACAATAAACATTAATTAACACGACACACTAACACCCCCACCCCCACCCCCCACCCCCCACCTCGCGCCAGAGGAGGTTTATTTTATGCAGTTAGTAAATGCGCCGATCTAGCTTAGCTTTTTGGGGTGGGGCATTTATGGACGTCTTGACAAATAGAATTTCCCGACATGAGAATTTACTGATTTTGTCGATATCTAATAGCGGAAAAACATTTGTGATTCACTTTCCCTGTCAAGGCTGGGTAGATTTGAGATTTTTTTTTAAAATTGGAAACTTTATCTTCTTAAATAATTATCGTAATCTTTTTGCCTGTACTGCTTTATGTGACACTAGCGTCTAGGACTTTCTTTGACTTCACGTTGTAGGATCAATTATTTCAATCATCAATTAACTGACTCTGGAACACCCTTTGTGTTGTTACTAAGTTAAATACAGTAAACTACAACATCTATTATAGATACTTTAGGGGTTATTAAAATATCCACGGTCTGAGTTTAACATCTTTTATAACTCTGACGTAACGGCCGAAACGTGGCAAGAGTCACATACTTCTAGATAGTTCTACATGATGTTCGCGCTAGGATGGTGTCTTCACCCTTGCCTCTAAGCCGAGGAGGCTATGATAGCCCCCTCTCGGACCGCTCTATGATGTCTGAAGTGAAATTTAACTCGCTTTTTCTTATATAGAAAGTATAAATGCGTCAGCTATTAGAGCGGGACAATTACCATATTTGGGTAAGTGTTTCGTATGGGAACCGTTTTACGTCAACACTATTCTAGTTAACTGTACTAAACTGAGCACGAGATGGCTGGACGATAGTGCCCCTACTTCCAGCAATTGATGGTGACATAACTGTCTGTAACTTAGTCTAGGAAAGTTGAATCTTGAAAAATACCTTCTTAGCCTATTTCTCGTTGTCACCCATTTGTTTAACTACTTCAATATATTAAGCAGAACACCTTTCACAGAACTAAAATAACCCCTATTCTAAAACAAAACAAATGTTTGTTTTATTGTTAAATGTGTTGTATTTTTGTGTTTATATCTGTATATATTTGTCCTCGCATATGCCAGTATATTATATAAACTTCAATGACCAGGCAGCGGGAACTAGATCTTAAATGTAGTGAAGTCTATAGAAAAGGCCATCAAGAACATAACAAAATAATTTAACTATCATAGAACTAATTGGTACTTGTTTACTACTCTTCATATAAGGAACGAATTGTCTTTTCAGTGGTATTATTGTGCTTTTCAAATACTTCTATTTCACGACGTTCCACAAAATCCGGGCCCAATTCTAACAACAATTTTACGGTATTTCATCTTAATGCCCGTAGCATTAGGAACAAAATTGATAAGATATACGAAATAGCCAATGAATTTCATATAGTTTACTTCTCCGAGACATTCCGTTGTTTGTATGGGATAATTTTCACACACCAAACCGAAAAGATAGGAATATATTTGACCGAGACATTCTTGTTTACTTTAATGAAAACACAAACTTCAAAAGAAAGCCTGGTTTTGAATTTGGCACCATTGAAAGCATCTGGATTGAAGTCAAGCTTCAAACTCGGTCTATTCCTTTGCTGATATCATGCTACGGTCGACCACTAAACACAACTAAGTTATTCTGGTAAAATCTCGAGACATCTCTTGGATTGGCGCTCCAAGAATCCTTCAGTGTTACTAAAGACCTTAACGTAGACATGTCTAAAAACAGGAATAGTAAATTAAACGACATTATCGTTACAAATGACCTTACTTATATAATCAATGAGCCGACGCGAGTGACACCTACACTGAAAAAACACTTGTGTTGGATCTCAACACAAGTACTTGTGTTAAAACTAATCTACACAAGTTATGTGTTGTTTTGCATTGCATTAACACAAACTTGTGTCGATTTATAAAATCTTGTGTGTTTTTTCATATCATTAACACAAGTAATGTGTACCTTCCACGATTTGTTTTCTTTTTAAGAAAAAAACTCCATACAAAGTCTGAATTCGGGAGTCGTCAAGTTTTAAGAAAAGTAATAAAGGGCTTAATTCACATCTCGAAAATCACTGGAAGGGAGTGAGTACCAATTAATCAGACAATTGCCAGACATACTTGAATGTTAATTGGTGTTAAGTTGTCTGTATAGTTAAAATGTCTGTCTTTTTTTATTGACCCAATAAACTGATAGACCAAATGAATATATAGTGTACATGTGATTTTCAGCACCCTGGTGTTTTCGAAAATTGATTCAATGTGCAATGAACAAAAAAAATGAGTAAAACTCTTAATAATGTAATTGGTTGATGTTATCGAAATTGGACAGTATTGGTTAACTGAAAAGTAACCAATCAAATTTAATTGATCATCCACGTGTATCTCATAATCGACTTATTGATATAATGGTTCTCCAAGTTATCTATACTTTTTGTCTGCGATATCACTTCGGTGGAAGCGGGCGTAAAATACAACTAACTAAGAAGAAGTATCTATACTTTAGTCATTGCGACAAATTCTTTCTTTGATATTATATCAGCGACATTCAGTTAGATGTAGTGACGTTAGCATCAACAACAGGGTGCTTTAGCCGTGATATTTTTTAAAAAAAAATTATAATGGTCACATAGAATACCAGACCGCAGGTTTGTAAATTTTTACAAAAAATAAAACCGTGTATTTAATTTAGCATGTATATATTGCTTCTATGTATATAATAATTCGTTTCGTTTAAAACAGTCAGATTTAGAACCACTGCCACTGACTGCACCGAAATTCTATTTATATAATATATTATAATGGCGCCACAAAGAAATTTGTTTTGATGTGTTCTAAAAGTGTTCCGCTAATTCAGCAATCTAATGAATCTGTCTTAATTTTTCTGAAATCGTGCTTAATTATTATTAGCTAATCGGCGCTACACCGTTGTTCAAATACTTATAATTGCAAGAAACCCCCGACTAGGACCAGCAGGTAAGAATCTGTCTTGATTTTATAGTAATGCCCGGTTGCAATTATTGGCCGCCATCTTTGATTTTTATAGACGTTCGGGCCAAAAAAAAGGAGAAATGTATATCCAGACATGGACTATAGCTAGATACTAACTTTTGTGTTAGTTGTTTATTTGAAATGTAATCTTAATATTTCTGTAAAAGAAAAAAACAACAACAAACAAATCAGCCTTTTTTTTATATCAATGTCATCAATGTGTAGGCCTAATAATTAGACTTTCAATGATTCAGAAGTTTCTCTACAGTTTCGTTATTTTTTTTCCAGTCATTGATGTTAGCATATGTACTACACAAAGAAAAACAGGTAACAGAATTTCATTTCCTTTTAATATATTTTTTAAATAATGGCCAATAATTGTTATTGTATGTAACAGGAAAAGTATTTATCTCTGTAGAGAGAGGGCGAGTAAATGGGGTTTAAAATTCACTAAATTCACTTGACACAAACTATGCCATTCATTTCCTTGTATTAAATTGGTCGAATCAATGATGGGTTAGTTGTATTTTACGTCCGCTTCCACCGAGGTGATATCGCAGACAAGGTCGAATCAAGTAGGCCCATGCTTTATGTCCTAGAATCAAGTAGGACGGGTAGTCTTCTTCCGTTTCCGCCCTTTTCCTGAACACTGTCTCATTCTATTGCCATCTGTGTATGTTGTGTTATATTAATTCTGCATAAACCTAGAGTTGTTGTTAGTGTTTGTCGGATAGATCCTTTATACTTACTGGCGCTAGGTAATTTTGAGGCTAATATTGTTCAATTTTATTTGAATGATTTGCTTGCGCGTACCGTAGGAGTGTATTAGAAACAGTGTTCGCGCAGGTTCGAGAACGGCTGAAGAACATGAAAACACTTTCATGAGTCTCGAACATGAGAGAACGGTATCCATGGTAACAAGATGAATTAAATTTATACAATCTGTTACGATAACTTGTTTGGTATTGACTTCGCTATTAGGCATACTTATGATAAATTATGACTCCATTTTACTCCTTTTCAATTCTTTGGATGACGATTACATCACCTTTTGATACGCCCACATGGAAATGTGGTCGCATATTGTCATCGCCCTCGTCCGTAGGTTTGTCCGTCGTCTACAGACCTGATTATTTTGAAATTGATATGTTGTTTATTTTAATGAGATGAATCCTATTTAATTTCAATAATTTCCGTTAGTTTCTTCTGGAGTTATGGCCCTTGTTTCACTTTGTGAAATTCATTTGCATCTTTTAAATTAGTAAAACGAAGACGTCTATTAAATTTCTGCGATTTCCGTGAATTATGTCTAGAGTTGTGGCCCTTGTTTCACTTTTTCGAAACTTGTGAACGCGCGAACAACAAAATTATCATCCGATTTGTATGCATTATTTAAATTAGTAAAACACAAAACAAAAAAATCTGTCAAATTTCAACAATTAAGGCCCTTGTTTCAGTTTGTAGAACCTTTGTAAACCCACAAACGACAAAAATTATAATCTTTTCTTGTAAATGCCCACATTACCTACAAAAGAATGAATATGCGACAATCCCTGTTGACTGAGCAAACGATTAAACTGCTGTGGGCATATGTTTCGTTGCCTGGCAACCTAACTTATTTGATGTTATACTGGCCACATACTACATCCAATTTTCGAACGGTATTAAACTTTTAAATTAATAAATGCACCCATGATGCTGTTTTCTCAGCAGTTATCGATGCGTCGACCATGTTTGTTCTCCCTCACACCAGCTATGAGGTAGTGTGGGATTTGAGAACGGGAACGTGTTCGTGAACGCATTCCAGACTGCTCAAGTCCGACAAGAACCCATTCTCCGTCCGTTCTCTGCACTGGAACACTGTTTCGAATACACCCTAGGGGTATTTAGCAAAGGGAGGAAACCGGAGGACCAGGAGAAAACCCACAAGGCTGGACAGGCGACCTTATTCCTAGTCACATTCAAGTGGGGAATCACATAATAATGGCCTATTTCAAATAAGATATTTGCATATAAAGAAAGTAGGCCTACAGCCTCTTTCAAATGTGATATTTGCATATAAAGAAAGTACAAACTTAAATCGTCAGTACTGGATAAACTAGCCAAAGGATTCGGCTGAATCAATTGGCGCTAAACTTCACCTAGTTTATCCACTGACATACGCCCGAATCAAACATGTTTAATATATTTGGTCGAATTGTATTTGAGTGGTGTGTCCTGCTGTCCGCTTCGCCGAAGCATTCGTCTGATTTTAGAATTCATTAGCCAATCACCACTCATTTATATCGAGTGGGTATCACAAACTAGCAGTCGAACTGTGACACGGGTGCTACAGCCAACAAATTCCAACTACCATACTATCGGCTTAAATGCACGCCAATTGGACCTCAGGTTTTGTGTTCCATTGAAACTACTAGAAATGAAATGGGGTTTAACGTCCTACTATTTTGCTCCGAACTGGGCTAATGAAGACAGGCATACACCACACAGTGTGCTATGAGGGAAATTTTGCCCGGACAGCGGCACTGCGGTCTATCGAATTCCAACTGTCAAGGGATCTTTTACGTGGACGCCAACGTGTACACGGGACCTCGTTTTTTCGTATCATCCGAATGACTAGACAACTGTCCTTGTCAGGCCCTCCATCCTGCATCACTGACAAGGGGGAACCACGCCGGAAAATCTGGGTGAACTTTCTCGGCCAATGCAGGGATCGAACACCCTACCTCCAGGCTAGCGAGCCAGCGTCTTACCCACTTAGTCACCATGACGACTAGACAGGGAATCCATGCTAAAAAATCCAAATGAGCTTTCTCGGTCAACACTGGGAGCAAACCTACAAACTCCCGGGTAGCAAGCCAGTGCCTTACACACTAAGCCACATGGCTCTCTTCTAATTACTGTGACAGTCCAGTCACATGACAAACAAGGGTTATTAAAACAGATTTTCACGGCTTCGGTAAGATCTTCGGGATTCAAATGGTTTTAGATATCACACAGTTTGTATATGGTAAGGTATCTTAAACAGTTAATTACATGTCACATATTTATATTTTTCAGTTTCCATATTAGATGCCATAGCAAATCAAAGATAATATTATAAAATAAGTCAAAAAACCCAAATATGGGAAAAAAAAGAGCTGAAGAAATGGTGATTTGAGCACCTATGATTTCTCATAGTTGTTTTTTGAGGGTGAGTGTTCAATTCTAATAGAAAAGATTGTTGTTGTGGAATTTTAGAATCTCACCATAATGTGTTTGGCACAATATAGCCCGGTTGGAGCTGATGTGACATAAACCTTAATTTCATTTTATTATTTGGAATTTAAAATTCAGTTTAGTATAGTAAAACTGTGAAGTACATGTATGTGCACAGACAGAATCTTACTTATGTCCAGATACATGTAGATATGACTATCTCATCTGTGGGGACCTACGGTGACCAAGTGGGTTAGACACTGGTTCGCATATTTTAAGGTCGCGGGTTTGCAGTAAGACAATGCAGAACGGAGGGCCTTACAAGGACAGCTGTCTAGTCGTTCAGATTGAACAAAAAAACGTGGTCCCGTGTACACATTGGCGTGCATGTAAAATAGCCCCTGGCAGTTAGAATTTGATACAAGAGTAGGCCTTAGGGTCACGGTACCCGGCAAAATTTCTCTCATAGCACACTGTATGGCATATGCCCAACCTCATTAGCCCAGTCGGAGCTGAACAGTAGGACGCCGAACCCCATTCCATTTCATTTTTTTCATTTTGTCTCATCTGTGACAAAGCAAACCAACACATTACAATACAATGTAATTAAATTAAAACTTTCATCTTTTAACTGTCGAGTCGATTTAAGTCAACTAATACATAGTATGTTTTTTTTCTCCGTTAACTACATCAGAAAGATCAAGACAGTTGAAAATGGCTATTCATATTATGGAAACTTTTTCTCACAGAGCTTGATAATCAGGTAAAATGTAAGTAACATACATATTTGTATTTTTAATCATCAACTAGTTCTATACACTTGCTTGGTAATCTAGTTATTCTTCTTGGGGCAATGCCTAGGACTCAGCTATTTCAAGTACTTGGCATGCTTGATTTTTGCCAATCACATCCATTACAGTAAATAGCAGTAAAATAATGATGGACAATATTTTACTTTTCAAATAGATTTCAATAGATTTTAAAGGGTAATATCCAATTTGTTGTCAATGGAAATAAAATAAGAATGGGTCCAAAAATAATTAGACATTGCCAAGTAAATAGGTGCTGCCAATGATGTAGTAGGGAATCTGGATTTGCAGACAATACATGTATGAACCGGGTGAATAGTTGACCTATTATGAGACTTCAGTCCCAAATCTCAAGACTTTTTTCTGACTTGGCCTGACAATGACAGCTGTCTAGTCCTTCCGATGAGACGAATATTGGAATGCACGTAAAAGATCCCCTGGCAGTTGGAATTCGATATAAGAATAGATGATAGTGCCGCTGCCCGGGCAAAAATTCCCTCATAGCACACTGTGTGGCATATGCCCGTCATTATTAGCCCAGTATAGGAGCAGAACAGTAGGACGTTAAACCCCATTTCATTTCATTTTTCTGACTTTTAACCCATTTGATTTGAGCATAATAATCTGCCTGGGTCTTTAAGTGGACAAGACACAATAAGCGTTACGCAAAGTTGAAACCAAATAGAGACTCAGTCTCGATGTGGCAAAATAAATTGTTTATTTAAACATTGTATTCTTATTGCCTACTTTTTATTTTTTAGGCTGGAACACCCTTGAAAGAGTATAAGGTGTATGATAACAACAAGAGAACCCAAGCATCAATTTATTTTATACTTCTGGGAAAGAATGCATTTGACCCAATTTTTAAATATTTATTTTTTGTTATTAATGTTAAATTTTCTTCCAAAACACAATTAGATTTTAATTCTCTTCAAATATGTATGTATAATATAGCAAGTAAACTGACATATAAATCACTTAGAATTTGGTCGGAAATCATAAAGTATTTAATAGGCATTACTAGAAACCAAATGTAGATCAAATACACCCAGAATTACAAAAAACCTTGACCTACATTAAGGTGACTTTCCCTTGCTTATGAAATGAAATACGTTTTAATATCCTGCTTTTCTGTGTTCTTAGAGTGATTCTACCCTACCCTTATATCAAATATTTCAACTGTCAAGGGTTCTTTAAAGGGTACCCAGGGGGGCCGAATGGTTAACACGCACACATTTGATCAGAAGGTCTGTCATTGATTCAAATAATTCAATTTTCAAGGGTTCTTCAAAGTGTACGCAGTTGGGTTGGTTTCAATTCTGGGGGGTGGGGGTGGATGGCCGAATGGTTAGCACGTGCATGCTGTATCATACGGCCTCCTGTCATTGAGTCAACTGGCATGGTTTCTAATCCCCGGTTGTAGACAAGGAGTAGGGTCGCCTGTCCAATCTAGTGGTTTTTCTCCGGGACCTCCGGTTTCCTCCCACTGCTAAAGACCCCTACGCGCTAGCGAATTATTGAAATAAAATTAAACCATATGTTAATCCCAAAATGATCTAGTTTGTGTCGAGTAGATGTTAAACCCCATTTCTCTCTGTCTCTCTCTCTTTTGATTCTGGGCTTGTACCCAATTATCCCTTGCCATATCCAACACTGAAAAGTGGGAACTATGCCGGAAAATCCAGTTGAAATTTCGCGGCCAACGCCTTATGCTCACTGAACCACTGTGGCTTATGACTTGTGATTGTATATAAATCTTTTGTACATATGATATTTTTTTATTTCAATCCTGTAATCTTGATGCTTTGCTTCTTTTATTTATAAAATATTCATTTTGTTTGGGGTTTTTTTAATGAGGAAAAGGCTCTACATCATTTTATTACTCCTGCAAAATAGAGCAATTTTCTTTTGTTAGTTTTCTGTGTATGCTAGTTATTTCTAGATGCCTCACAAATCACTTGTAGTGTGATTTTGTAGCATTTTTCAGTTTTTGAAATTGTTTCAATTTAGTGCATAATTAATCTTATTAGTGCTTAGTTTGGATGTTATTAAATTTAGATATATTTGAATTATATATTTTGGGGTATGGGGTAGGGATACTGTGTACATATCTTTATATTCTCAGTTCTTGTTTTGGGGTAAAGAACAATTTAAATAGCTATTTTATATTTTGTGATGGGTAAAGTGGGGGGGGGGGGAGGGGTCATTATATATAACACAACATAATTTGTATTAGAATTGAAGTCTCTGTTTTTCTGTTAACATTCAAATATCTATTTAGTTTTGATGTATTAATTTACTTTTTCCTATGATTTTATGAATAAATAATAATCTTACAAAATTTTTTTTTGTTTCCTTCTTTTATCAAACTTTACAGGTCTAACAGAGCCAAGAGAGGGGTCCTGCATAGAAAGGTTGCTATGCTGGATATAAATTGGGGAAAAATACAACACAAGTTTTTGATGATGGTTATACACAAGTTTGTATGAAACCACACAAGTTTCAGAAATTTCAACACAAGTTTCAGAAATTTTAACACAAGTTTCAGAAATTTCAACACAAGTTTCAGAAATTTCAACACAAGTTTCAACACAAGTATTGTGTAGATTTCACACAAGTTTCAACACAAGTTTTGTGTTGTTTGATACATTTTAACACAAGTTTTGTGTTGTTTGATACATTTTAACACAAGTTTTGTGTTGTTTCAACATTTAACACAAGTTTTGTGTTGTTTTAACACAAGTTTGTGTTGTTAAATAGAGACACCTAACTTGTGTTGAATTTAACACAAGTTTGTGTTCTTTCAACACAAGTTTTTTTTCAGTGTACTTGACCTCTTGCCCCTCACTACTTGATGTTATTCTTGTCCATTCAGATTTACAGGAACTTTTTAGTGAGGTAATCGAATTCGGTTCTCATATTTCTGATCACAAGGGTGTAGTCGGGGAAATAGACTGTTAAAGTTAACTATATTAGGGAAGTTGTACTTTACAATCACTGCAATTTTGATGAATTAAATAACATTATCAAAAGTTATGATTGGAATGTCCGATTTGCAAACTTGAATCTAAATGATTCGGCGAATCTTTTTATCGTATCTTAAATGATTTCACCAACAAATACATTCCCAAAAGACAGGTATTAATATGTCCAAATGATAAACCTTGGTTTAACTCAGACCTACAAAGATACAAAGTACAGCGTAACAAGGTAAATAAGCACAAAAAAGTACTAAAATCACAGTATCGAAGAGCAGCATTTAGTTGATATATCTAGTCCAAATTCAAATCAAAACGATTTTTGGAAAATATGAATAAACTGGTCGGAAAAAACAACGTAAACCATATTCCTCCTTTACACAACAAAACGGAGGATGAATTAGTTTATTCTTAATATAAATTGTTTTGGATCTGTGGCAAATAATACCTCATCAATTGCCGGAACTCAGTACTCGCACAAATCAGAATCTTAGAGTCTGAAATTATTGATGTTATAACATGTTTAAAAGATACGAAAGCGAGTGGCCCTAATAAAATATTAACAAATTTCTGAAAGCTACGTCGCGCTCAATAAGCACACCACTTTGTTTACTTTTTAACAAATCTAATGAAGAAGGGATCTTCCGAGCATTGTTGAAAATTGCACATGTGATGCCAAGTTTTAAGAAAGGATGCAAAAATATAACTGCAAATTACAGACCAATATCACCACTCAGCTGTGTAAGCAAACTCTTAGAACGGATCGTATTTCAAAACCTGTACAACTATTTTAATGATAATAATTTACTCTAGAGTTTTCAATCTGGATTTAGGCCTAATCACTCTACTGTACAGCAACTAATAGACATTTATCATGATTGTGTTAGAGCTATCGAAAGTCATAAAATTTCTTGTTTTGTTTTTTCGACATATCAAAAGCCTGTGGTCGTGTATGTCATCCTGGTCTACTATATAAACATAGTAAATATGGAATTGATGAAGCATGTCTGACTTGGATAAAAAGCTACATAGACGGAAGGAAACAAAACGTATTAGTAAATGATGTTTACTCCAAACAGACTAACTTGAATTCTGGAGTCCCTCAAGGTTCCATGTTGGGACCGTTCTTGTTCCTGGTTTTCATAAACGACACCTATGAAGTACTGAAAACATTGCTAGATTAATTGCTGACGATACAGCTATTGGTTGTACTAAATCTAGTATGATCTAGATCTTTACCAGTAAATGATCTTTACCAGTAACGCATTTGCTCACAAAACTGACTGATAAATTTCAATCCGAATAGGGCAACAAAAGTCTTGCTATTTTCAACGAAGAAGCTAGGGAAACTGTCCTACTTAGAGGGAATTGAGCTCGATATTGTCTGGTACCACAAACACATTATTTTGTCGCAAGATTTAAAATGGGCCTACCATATTGATAGAATTTGCAACAAAAGACGTTAGACAGAATCTATAAAGGGTACATCAGATCGATCATGGAATATACTAGTCCGGTCTGGGATAACTGCATCGAAGACGATAGTATTCGTCTAGAAAAAATTCAGTTAGGGCTATTCGCATAGATACGGGTTTTCCCAAGTTTGCGAGTAAAGATGTCCTTAATCAGACAGAATCTGATACTTGTTTACGATATATACAACAATAATTGCCCTGTATTCCTTACAAATATCTTACAACAATATAGAAACAGTAATACACCGTATCCATTACGAAATACCAACGATTTATTGACGCCGCGTTGTCGAACTTCACGGTTTGAACAGGCGTTTTTCGCAGGCACAATTCGCGCCTGGAATTTGTTAGATTCGTCTACTAAAGCTGCTCTTAATAGAGCAGTATTCAGATCAAATATAAGTAAATTTGATCAACCGAAACCTCCACCTAGTTATCTATTAACATGTAACATGAAACTTAATATCTTACATACAAGACTTCGCCACGGCCGTGGCCCATTAAAATCACATCTTTTTAAATCTAACCTTGTAAATGATCAAAAATTTGACTGTGGCCGTGAATCGGAAAATACACAACATTACTGGCGACACCGGCATTAACGACAGTTCAGAATATGTATTTAGTTATGCAAGTACTGAAATACATGGAAAACACAAACCGTTTAAATCATGATCTATTTTCTAGAATGAAAAAACGCACTACCACCCGCCAAAGAGTTTTCATTTTTAAATAAAATCGATTGATATTTGAACCTCATCAAACAAACCTTACACACTGTCTTATATATCGCTGCTTTAAGGTATGTTATCCCGGGGTATCCTCCCTGGTCCCTATTTTAAATACACTGATTTTGTGTAAATATGTTTGTTTTGTTAATTTATTGTTTACTAGTATCTGACATGTATGTATATCTATTGACCCTGTTTCACTGACCAACTACGACAATTATATTGTAATGGAGGGGGCTCCTTTGTAAGTTTTAGTAACTTTTATCCGATCCGTTCATTTTAAAGTATATCTCATTGGAATAGGAGAAAAGAATCTAAAAGACTGTGCATATCATGGATTATTCCTCTGTTGGAAAAGATACCATGCCAGATTTCGCCAAATCGTCCTTGTGACCCCCAGTCCGTCCCTAATACATTTTACACAACAAGCCCATGATCATGAATGTAGTTAGTGAAAAATGAACAAAGATTTTACAGGATAGTTTTATTGTGTAAAATATGGGGATTTATAATTTACTTGATTTGACAACATGTAGCTACAGCTTTAACACCTTCCTCTCCTGGATATTTATCTCCACCATTGACAGCACAACAATGTACTTCTCCATTTAATGCTAAACAATTAGAAACATGAGGATTACATGAAACAGTACAGGAACAGAATATAAATCTAAATTATATTGACAACTTTTTTTTTTAATTATGTTTTTTCTTGCTCTTGCCACTCTCTGCTTTGAAATTGAAATTGAATCACTGGCAAAAACTTACTGTTTATAAATGACCCTGCAGTTCTTCCGTACTTAGAGAAAGCTGAACAGCCTGTGAGTGTCCAGCCTGACTGACATGTAACGTTAGTTAGGGCACCTTGTAATAAACCACTAGCTGGTGACCAACGAACTTCACAATTCATGTGTGGTGCTTTACAACAACTTCCTGTTACAAACACGCCTAAAATAGAAAAACGACATTACTTTTTGCATTACTTTTTGTATACTTCTGAATGGATACATTTCGACAAATGATAATTAAGAATTCGTTCAATACCGACGTGTTTGTAGAGTATGTATAGTAAACATATATATAACGACTTCTTGATATTAAAATCATATGTTGAAGAAAAAATATGAATATCCTGCACTGGTGATCGTGAATATCCTCAGATTTGCATACTAGCGGCGGCTGATGATGCTGAATTCCTCAAATAGCCTACTAGCGGTAACTGATGACGCTGAATTCCTCAAATATTCTACTAGCATTAACTGATGATGCTGAATACCTCAAATATCCTACTAGCATTAACTGATGATGCTGAATCCCTCAAACAGCCTACTAGTCGCAATTGGTGATACTGAATCCTCAAATAGCCTACAAGTGGCGACTGATGATACTAAATTCCTCTAATAGCCTACTATTACTGATGATACTAAATTCCTCAAATAGCCTACTATAACTGATGATACTGAAATCTACAATTAGCCCACCAGTGGTGACTGGTGATACTAAATTCTTCAAATAACTTTCTGGTGATGAGTGGTGAAACTGAATTTCTCAAATAGCTTGCTAGCAATGTCTGATACTGCTGAATTTCCTCAAATAATCTTCTAGCGGTGACTGATGATGCTGAATTCCCCAAATACAAGCGGAAACTGATGATACTAAATCCCCTGGGTTATATTTTTTTTTATTAATATCTATAATCGTGTTTCTCTACATACGTGCAATTATCTTTATTTTTTAAATCTATTTTAAAGAAATATACATTCGATATCTAATCTCTGTTGTGTTATATCAATGAATAAATTATTATTATAAATTATTAAAAAGTCTTCTAGTGGTGACTTAAATCCTTATTTTAATTTTATGACTTACCTAATTCAGTTCCATCATTTTGTGCTATACAGGATTTATTCACAGGAAATGCCCCATCAGTTGAAGACACCCAGGTATTCGATCCGCATCCTACAATCAAGACAAAACCCAAATAGTATCATTTCGAGAAAAATAATGTAATATTATGTACCCCTAGAGTTTTACAAAATATATCCCTACAAATATATACCTACGGTTAATAAGTTTTACATAATACGTACCTAGAGGAAATTCGTCATTCTGGCAGGTTATGGCAGCTTCGTCATCAATACCAATATCAGACATACCAGCAGATTTATAGATACATTGTAAACCTTCTACTTTACAACATCTAGCAACAGCTTGGACAGCTAGAATTAGAAATAAATATCTCATAATTTATGTATAGGACAATACGTGAACAGTGTGATAGCAGTCAATTTTAAACGTCTCTATCATTTATTTACTGATTATCCATTTATTTTTTCATCTGATACAGCTGTATTTGGCATGTTTCTTTTTAACAGTTACTTACGACCAAACGTCCGATATCCATTTGTAGCATAACATCTGGCTTTTCCCCCTTCCATCCGTATTTCTTCGCCATCCTTATGCCAGTCGTTATCCTTAAGAAATAAAATGAAGCGTCACGTCAACGCAATACTTTGGTTACTTTGAAACTAGCATATTTATTTATTATGATCACGTGTCAGGACATCGGCGTTTCCACCTCCTTTGAATGCTTCGATTTTATATCCCTTCGAAGAAACTAGTGAACACATTCATCCGAGCAACAGCCTAATCCTTATGTAATACTTTGCAGTACACTTTTCAGATTTTTGTACCTTTAATTTTGGTATAAACTGTTGCTATTTATACACGTACCTTCAACACACTGGCACACCCAGTTAAGATCTTGTCATCGGGACATTCGGCCCATACATTTTTATCATCGCCAATTTCTGAAAATCCTGACCATCTAGTTTCACATGTTAAATTGTTCCCAGCATTAGGTTTCACAGACGCTTGGCCAACAACATGTTCATCTTTATGGCTGATATCTGGATGAGCTGTGACCGCTGCGTAGGGATCTACTGTTGGTGGTATGGTAATTTCAGCTGGAAAAAATAAATAAATATGATAATGCTAATTGTTCCAGTTCTTGTCAACAAAGTTGGTGTTTAGTTGTTGTAAAGGGAACTGATTTGAATCTGACTGACACCGATTGCTATAAAGATATATATCTGGTTTAACCAAAAAATATAGTTTTAAAGCGCAAGCATGATAGACCTCACACAATTAAAGTTATTTTTTATTTTAAAGATAAAATAAACATTTTGATTCAACAATTATACAAATCGTTCAATACTAACTTAACCCAGATGTAATTATTTTCCTAGACGACGTACATTATGCAAATCCCCTTAATATACATACTTGGATTGTCATGGATTTTGATTGAGATATCCTTATATAGATCTAGACTAAAGGTTTCATAATGTATATGTTTGCCCTTGTATAATACTGTTAAGTCATAGTCTCCCATAAAAGCTCGTAGACTGATTTTGGGTCCAGATGTCAGATTCCGATTGACACGAGTACTCCATTCATTTTTGATTAAGTTTAGGTACCTTGACCCTGCTTTATTTATCTGTAAAACATAAAAATAAAATATACTTAGCCTACATTATGTAAATATTCAGTGGATGAATGTTTATTACAGACATAACAAACACATAATCAATATTGCAAATATAGGTTTTTAAATAGTACGGGGGTTTTCTACGGAGTCCGGTTTCCTCCCGCTTTTAAAGATTCATGCGCGCAATAGAACGCCCCCCCCCCTCCCGCACACCTTCCAATTTATCTCTCCATAAGTAGTGGCGCGTGTCGTTCATTTTCATTTTCTAGAATACCTGATGCCAAATAGGTAACAATTTTTCTTGTAGCTTAATATGTTATAAGATATATATATAAACATATATTTTACTAAGTAATCATAAGTTCTTTAAAGCAGGCTTTAAAAGTAATCTAACATAAATTATAGCAATATTTACATAATAATTATATCCGTTAACAAGAGATGAGTGTGCATTTCCACCCGGTTGGTCCCAAAATCCCCAAAATATGACACCATGCACTGAAGGATGACTAAAGTACATTCTCAAAGCATCTTCATACCAATCAGCTCTAGCATCTTCGTTATCTGCCTCTAAAGTTAACTCTGTGATCCACAATGGAAGACCAATCAAAGCTAATTTATCCAAACGTTGCTGAAATGATAAAGATTGGGAAATTTCGAAACTTAGCTACGGTAAATTTCAAAATTGAAAACTCGTGTAGTGAACTGGATCTCTGGATAGAGCGGATTACTGTGGTAGAGTGGGCCCGGCTCTATCCGTTAGTTCCGTTGAGGGTTCACTATACTGTAGAGGTGTGGGAGTAGCCAATCAAGCAGCTGGCTCAGAAAGACTAACACCAGATTAATCAGCAGCTCTCTTTATTGTACTCTAAGTATAGAAGGACTCTCACCATCTCACGCATGTCGAGCTCTCGAATCGCGCTCTCAACAACGGCTCTCTCCTCAAGCTCGATAATCTTAACGCTCCTACAAAAGGGCTCTCTGTAAGGCTCCTTAACGGGCTCTCTATAACGCTCCTAAAAGGGCTTTCTGTATCGCTCCCTATAAATCGGGGTCAAACTGGTCAATGTAATCGACTGGAGAAATGGTCTAGGCCTTACCTGAGCTAACACGACTCAATTCCACTGCTACTGGGCAAGACAAGGTACTATATACCCAAGATCACGTGACGTAACCAAGGGGTATAAGACACACCTACTGTTCCTGTCAATCATAATAAGCACGTGCAGCCAAAAGACAACGAGCCAAAGACAGCGCGTGTAAAGACGGATATCAATCTGTTTCACAGAGAATTACGAGTCTTTTAATATCTCTGTAAAAGATGACTGCCGTTAACACGCGCCGCCACAACACGCGGCGTCAATCATTGGCCGAATGACGCGTGCATTGTTTACATAAGACGTTACTGCTTCGGGCAGAATGCTGCCTTTTAGTCATTTTAATACCCATTTACACTAAATAGGAAATAATTTTTACCTACATATACGTCAAACGTCTTTATTTATTTTTCTAATACATCAACAAAAATGTTTTAGAATTTAATTTGTCGGTGGAAAAAAGTTAATATTTGAGACTCATTAAGTCGCATTGATGTCATCCTTATCAGTGATTGTAGCGGACTAGCGAATATTCACTGCTGATCAGTGTGGATGGATATACGAAAATACATTTACAATATAAATATGAATGAAAATATGGGCTACATAGTAACATAATTAAAAATGGACAATTAAATTAAATAATTACTAATTACTAGAGGAAAACAATAAGAAAACCAGCGGCTGCCAGGCAGAGAACAAGCTAAAAACAAACGCGTTTTTTTTGTACAATCAGGGGCAATAATCCAGAAAGTTATGGCCTGAAATGTGCAAATATCAAAAGTGACTACGATATTCGGAATATAAAGATATGTTTTAAGTTTGATCAAAATCGGATAAAAATTGTGACCTCTAGAGGGTCCACAACGTTCGTATTACACACTTATACACAATTTGCATACAAAGAGCGGCCATTGTATCGGGCAGTTTCATTTCAATTTTCCCGAAATACGACTTAACCTTCATTATGGTGTAATGGTGATATATTCACACGTTTTTTTTTAAATCGGATAAAAATTGTAACCTGTACAGGGTCCACAAGCTAAAAACGTGATTTTTTGTTCAATCAAGGGCCATAATTCAGGAAGTTACGATCTGATATGCGCGAATATCGACAGGAACCAATATCTTTGGGTTATAAACATGTATTTCAAGTTTCTACGAAATCGGATCAAATTGTGACCTCTAGAGAGTCCACAACCTTGATTTACCAGATGTTTACACTATTTGCGTACAAGGGGCGGCCATTTTGTCTGGCAATTTTGGTCCGATTTTCATAAAACTCAACCTCAGACAAAATTACGGTGTAACGGTGATATATTTGAACGTTTTTTTTAAAATCGGATAATAATTGTGACCTCTAGTAGGACCACGAGCTAAAAACGCGATTTTTCGTACAATCAGGGGCCATAGTTCAGGAAGTTACGATTCAATATGCACCGAAATAGAAATGAACCAAGATATTTGGGTTATAAACATGCATTTCAAATTTCATCAAAATCAGATGAAAATTGTGACCTCCAGAGGGTCCACAACCCTGATACACAATATTTTGACACTATTTGCGAACGAGGGGCGGCCATTTTGTCCGTCAGTTTTGGTCCGATTTTTTAGAAATTCGAACTCAACCAACCTTAGGGTGTAACGGTGATATCAATTTTTTTTTTAAATCGAATAAAAACGCGATTTTTCGTACAATCAGGGGCTATAATTCAGGAAGTTACGGTCCGATATGCGCGTATATTGAAAGAAACCGAGATCTGTGGGTTATAAACATGCATTTCAAGTTTCATCAAAATCAGATGAAAATTGTGACCTCCAGAGGGTCCACAATATTTGCAAACGAGGGGCGGCCATTTTGTCCGTCATTTGCGATCCGATTTTTACGAAATTCAAACTCAACCAACCTGAGAATGTAACGGTGATATATTTACACGTTTTTTTTTTTAAATCGGATAAAAATTGTGACCTCTATGGGGTCCACAAGCTAAAAACGTGAGTTTTCCTATAATCAGGGGCCATTATCCATGAAGTTAAAGTCCAATACATGTCAATATCGAAAGGAACTGAGATCTTAGGGTGATAAACCTATATGTCAAGTTTCATTGAAATCGAATAAAAATTGTGACCTGTAGAGTGTTCGCAAACACTTGTGGACGGACGGACGGACAGGGGCGACGACAATATACGTCCACATGAAAATGTGGGCGTATAACTAGATCGCCTAAACTGAGGACGTAGATCGGGCTATGAACGTACGTTTAGGATCACCACACTCGGTATAGATAAAATAAATTTATGCCGAGATCTTCGAAATTCCATAAAAACATTTGGACGGTTTTGTTGCTTTTTGGTGGGGGTGGGGGGTAAATATACAAATATCCGAAAACATGTTACATATATCCTTTTCAGACAATCATAATCTACCTTTAACAGAGTTGGGTCTGGTTGTGTAAATGCTCTGAAATGACTCTGAAGACCAATGCCCCCTAATCCTGTTTTATCTGCTTCAAATCCCAAAGCCTGGTCAATGTAAGACTGAAAAAAGAAAATATGAATACATGTATACTTTTTCATTTTTATAATTTAGAAAAATATATCGATGCTTGTTTCCATATTAGCACATATTCCAAATTTATAAATATTCATAAGCATCAACTTACATCCGTGTTAGATCCCATTGCCAAAACATCATAATCGTTTAAGAAGAGTCTGGCATAAGGATCAGATTTGTGAACAGCTTTGTACATCTTCTGTGAATAATGAGGATCGCCAACTGTCTCTTCGAAGTACTGACCATGGAGAAGTTCGTTATTTACGTCCCAATGTTCAAGCCTAAAGCAAAACATAGTTAGATCTTACAGATATCGTGGAGATCACGTGGCTAAGTGGGTAAGAAGCTGGCTCGCTAGCCTGGAGGTCGGGTGTTCGATCCCTGCATTGACTGAGAAAGTTCATCCCGATTTTCCGGCGTGGTTTCCCCTTGTCAGTGATGCAGGACGGATGGGTCGAAAAACCGAGGCCCCGTGTACACATTGGCGTGCACGTAAAAGATCCCTTGGCAGTTGGAATTCGATATAAGAGTAGGCCGTAGCCCCGCTGCCCGGGCAAAATTTCCCTCATAGCACACTGTAGCCCAGGTTAGGAGCAGAACAGTAGGACATTAAACCCCATTTCATTTACAGACATCGTAAATAAAAGTGGGTTTAAAGCTCCAATATTGTTATAAATATCAACTACGTTCAGCCTTTGCATGGAGTTAATATGTGACGAAATAGCCTAGTCTCAAAATCAAAATATAATGATAGCCAGATTAACGGCCTTGAGAAAACATGCTTGATGAAAAAAATGTTGTTCATTTAAACTTACATACCATTAAATACCTCTAGGTAATTCTATTAATAGCTTTAGTTTTAAAAGTAGTAATATAAGTGGCATTACGAATTAGAATTGGTAATGCTTTCCATAACAGCGGAAATGAAATTAAATGACATGGGGTTTAACGTCCTACTGTTCTGCTCCCCATAGAATGGCCGTAACTCAATGATGATAAATTATAAGAGCTCTGTATTAAGTAAGAGAGGGGGTCGCAGATTTATTGTGCGTTTATGGTATAGGGTGGGGTCAAAATATTCAAAACATTTTAAGACAAGTATAACAGTATTTTGTACTGTATTCTGTATGCTATTGGTTAACTGCAAGCTAAATATAAATCTTTGATTACATACTTACTTGCCTTAAATTAACCCTGTTATAAATCTGAGTTTATAGATTACTTACTTCCCTTTTGTTAATCCTGTTATAAATTTGATCCTATCTTGGATAGTCCTATTCAATTCAGTGCCGTTCATTTGTTTTGCAAAGTCGGGTACATTTTGTGGAACTCCCCAAAACATATTATGGCCTCTCACTTTTAACCTGTAGATAATTTTTTATTTAATTAATATTTGGGTGTAGAATCATTAACAATAATAATAATAATAATGTATATTTGTAAAGCGCCAATCCATCCACAAATGCATGCTCTAGGCGCGTACTATGTACTCTATGGTCACTATTTACACACAAATCCTGATCCACTCCAACTAAAACGCAGTGGTAAATATATGAGTTTTTAATTTTGTTTTAAAAGATTCAAGTGATGGAGCTGTTTTAAGATGATGGGGTATGGAATTCCACAAAAAGGGTGCACTGTACTGGAATGTTCTAGAACCGAAAGTTTGTAGATTGTACTTTGGAATGCGTAATAAGCACATATCTTGTGATCTTAAGTTACGGGATGGTACGTAATGGTTTATTAGCTCTGATAGATATGCAGAACCGGAACCGCGAAGACATCTATAAACAATACAAAGAAGTTTGTAGTCAATTCGGGAGTGAATTGGTAACCAGTGTAGTTCCTTCAATATGGGTTTAATGTGAGATCGTCTTGATGATTGACTAACTATCCTGGCAGCATTGTTTTGGATAACTTGAAGTTTAGAGAGTAGATTTTGGTTTAGACCGATAAGAATACTATTACAGTAATCCAATCGTGAAAACACTAAAGATCGGACAAGTGTGTGAGTAGCATCTTTTGTTAGTAGGTGTCTGATATTACTGATGGATTTCAGATGAAAATAACAGATTTTGCACAGATTGGTTACATGAGCTTCCATTGTTAGGCTTGAATCTAAAAAGACACCAAGATTTTTAACCCTATCTTCAGTTATTATTTCTGAGTCAGCAATAATTAATGTTGAGGAATCAAGTTTCTGTAGATTAAGTCTTGTACCCACGATCATTACTTCCGTTTTATCATCATTTAGTTTAAGCATGCTTGAGGTCATCCAGGTTTTAATTTGCTGTGTGCATTTTTCTGTTTTAAGAAAGGAATCTGTTTTACTCTCTGGTGGAAAAATATCTATGATTTGCGTATCATCAGCATACGGGTGGTGCGAAAGATTGTGATTTTCAATTATAGAGGCTAGTTGGCTGGTGTAGAGCACAAAGAGAACAGGACCGAGCATCGATCCCTGGGGGACATCACAGTTCAAGGAAGTTTTGTCTGATAACTCATCACCGATTAGAACTGACTGGGTTCGATCTTGTAGATTTGTAGCTGACTTCAATTTTTCTTTTCATCTGCTGTCTCTCTGCAGCCGTTTTGGCTATATCTTAAAGATTATATGAATCTACATGTACATAATGCAATGAAATTTGAATTACGCCTAAATAAAATTATGGAAGGGTTACTAAATGCTTGAAGTTCGAAAAAAGATATGTAATTCCATCACGAAAGAAACATGTAATTCCGTCACGATGGAAAAATGTAATTCCGTCACGCATAAATTTGGGAGTTCTATTTGTGATGAGAGAAATGTTAGAACATACTTCAATACTGACATGTGTTCCCACATAGGAAATGAGTTTTTATAGAGACATGCTCAATATTAACATTTTTAGAAAAATAAATATCATATTTACCGTGACGGAATTACACCAATCAGTGAAAATGTAGACAACTGTTATCCATTGACGAAATCATTTTAGTCACGCAAACCTCATTAAATTGTATAAAACATAATGGGTTCAACATAACGAACACACTGACGTATAACATACCTATTTCATCTGTTGTTTCAACCAGCTTAAAAACGTCAAAAGAAAGGCCTCGGAAATTCGTATTGGGCGCGTTTAAATACTTTAGCAGAAGCCTGGCGTCATCGCGCGTGCATGTCGGCCGTGGCGCGTCAAAATAAAAGCCCAGCTAATATTGGTCGCTTAGAATGATAAAATTCATACCCATGTCTCTATAACCGTGGAAGTCATGTATGAATGAATTCGCTAAGCCACTAAATTCGTAAATCCTGTAGAGTGAGCACAAGCCAAACGTGAACAGCCCACGCGGAAAGGGTGTCGTGGGCATATACAAATCTAAGGCTATCATTACAGTATACTCACCCATTTTTTCGAACTTTATTCATTGCATTAACAGCAAAACTGTAGTCTGGATTTTCCTAGAGAACCGAAGTAACAAAGCTTGTATATTCACACTTTCTTTCTGAGGGAACAGTTTTAATCCGTTATACAGTTGTATTTATTCCTTACATTTTCATATTTTCAGTCTCGTGCGTGACGAAATCCAATATTTTGAGTACAAATAATTATTACAAAATAGGGTGAGGTCACTATCTATGACATCAGGCAATGAAATGAAATGAAATACTTACAGGCGTACCCTTTGCGTACTTCCATTTAAAAGTCCCAACCGTAGCCCAGTTAAACATATAAAAAAACAAGTTTTGATACTGTTTATAATCCGGATTAATAATATAATCATCATTGACCAAAGAACCAAATCCAAATGTATGTCTCTTATGCATAACCTAAACAACGAAAATGGTGAATATATACTATTCAAAACAAAAAGGGGATATTGAAATGCAAATACCTATGCAGGTTGTGATATGATAAATAGTCATGGACACTTGGCATGCTTTGAGAGTATGTTCACAGATAAAGAACTTATCACCCCAACAGAACCACTGACCTGCACCTACGACACGCAATAGCGCCATACACGTGGGAGGGGTTCATTGTCAAATTTAACACTTCAAGGAAGGGTTGATGAAAACTGCCGCGTGCTGGTTTATCCTATCCATGTTTGCTTTCCTATCACTTTTTGCATAAGATTTACTGTTTAGCGTATCTTTACTTTAGTGTGTTACGTTTAATTTGCAATGAGACGTCTTCAATATGATGAACATCTACGTGCTATTGGCATGCTTGAAATGGGTTCTACACAGCGAGCAGTAGTCAGCATGCTTAATGTGTAACAGTCTGTGATCAGCAGACTGTGGAACCGGTACCAACAAACACACAATGTTGATGATAGACCTCGTTCAGGTCGTCCTAGAGCCACTACACAAGCCCAGGATCGATACATTCGTACACGGGTCCTGCGAAATCGAGGACAAACGGCCAATCAGCTTTCTGTAAACTTGTACCAAGTTACAGGAGTTCGAGTTACACCCCAAATGATTAGAAATCGGCTACATGCGGCCCATTTGCATGCGCGACCACCGTGTGTTGTGCCTCCATTAACTCGCCAGCACATGGCAAACAGATGTCAATGGTATTGGGCGCATGTAATGTTCTCAGATGAGTCCAGATTTACTCTCGATTTCACCGATAGGCGTGCTCGCGTTTTGAGGCGTGTAAATGAGCGTCATGCTAACGTAAACGTCAGACAGCATGACAGATTCGGGCGTGGGTCTGTTATGGTGTGGGGAGGAATCACCATGACTGGCAGAACGGACTTGCATATTGTTCAAGGAAGGGTCACTGGGGTGTACTACCGTCACCACATCCTGGCACCGACAGTTCTGCCCTTTGCTCTACGTGCAGGTCGACGTTTCATCGTGTCGTGAATGACTACTACCTTCAGCGTCACCATATTGTCCATATTCCTTGGCCAGCCACGAGTCCTGACCTTTCCCGTAGAACATGTCTGGGGAGAGAGAGAGAGAGAGAGAGAGAGAGAGAGAGAGAGAGAAATGGGGTTTAACGTCCACTCGACACAAACTAGGTCATTTCGGGACTAACATATGGTTTAATTTTATTTACATAATTCGCTTGCGCGTAGGGGTCTTTAGCAGTGGGAGGAAACCGGAGGCCCCGGAGAAAACCCACGAGGTTGGACAGGCAACCCTACTCCTTGCCACGTACAACCGGGGATTCGAACATGTCTGGGACATGATCGGGAGACGTGTTCGTCGACGTCAACGAAAACCGACAACACTGCACGAATTGGCCGTTGATTAGGAGCATGCCACGACGAATTGCTGAATGTCTGAGGATTGGTGGAGCAATTACTCATTATTAAGACAAACATCAAAAACGTCTATTTTCACTTTTGACAGTGTATATCTTTGCGAGTGAAATGGGGCTGTCAGATAAGCCGCCCATATGAACTGTTTATGTCCATGTGTAGGCAATTGGCCTGTTATTAACATACACTGGTTACCTCTAATAAAAAGAGCAGTGCATTTCCGCAGTTTTGTATTGTTTATGAATATCCCCTACTGAAGAGTATAATTTGCAACATAAAATGTTAATTTTACTTTAAAAAATGTACCTTATAATTACTTTTAAAATATGATAAATCTTACTTTAAAACACGCTAATTTTTGTGCACTTCTTATGTTTTCGTTAGAAAAATGATATGAAGTTATATTAAGAAAGATATTGCGCCAATTTAGTATTGCTTACCTGAACTTGGACATCGCTGGGGTTCATTTTACTGGGGTATGAAACACTGTTTAATAATAATTTTAAAAAAATAACAACATACAAATTGTAAACAAAATCAGATTGAGATTAAGCAATGGTTAAGATTCAAACAGAAATCAGTTTTTTTTTTGGGGGGGGGGGGGTTAAACTGTAAAATTGAAAACTGTCAGACTGATTGCTTTTTTTGTTTTTGTTTTTTCTTAAACTGTAAAATTGAAATCTGTCCTGAGTTAAAGTTTTTTCTAAAGAGTTTGAAATTGTCTAACTTGATAGTGAGATCCCCCTTTCTATATCTTTCAATTCTAGCATTGGCATCACTTTTCCAATTCTTATCTTCTGGCACCACTTGCATGGAAGCTCCATCCACAATATAATCTATACCAGCATCGTTACCTTGGTAGTATAACCTTGCTGTCGTCCAAGCTGAAAGAAAACATGTACATTAATTTAGTTTTGTACTATTTTTTTTTTCTATTTTCTTTTGGTTGTGGAGGTGGGGGGGGGGGGGGTGGGCGGGGGGCAGTGTAAAATTAAAAGTTTGTTATAAAGCCTCGCTCAGCTCTTTTCAAAACCCCCGTTTTTATTAGGCCACTCGATGCAGAACAGTAGCACATTGAACCCTATTTATTTCATTTCATTTCTTTAGTAGATCACCACATAGAATTAACAGTTTTCTTTGAACATAACAGTTAAAAAAATGACCAATGAGTAATATAAATTTTTAAATTTATATTACTCATTGGTCATTTACTTAAAAGTTCTTCTTTGACAAATAAATGCTGTTTTATTTATTTGAAATAGGCGCATTGAACAAAAGAATTGATGTTGAAAAGGGGGGTATGAAAGGCACTTATCGCGGTTGGGGAAAGAGCTTCTTTTTAAATATTATATAGAATACACTTACGGCGTTGGGGGGCATTGAAATCTCCGGCCAAGGAAAACCAACCGAGAGAAGAAGTTATAAAAGAATGCCCAGCTATGTCATAATAACCAGTGCTTGCTGAAATATAAAGCATTGAATCAAAAATTCAATTTATAATAAATCAAAATCAAGAGAGCGTGATTCAATGACATGTTAACTAGAATTTTAATAAATGCAAACAGTACAGTATTATCGGTCGTTCGAACTCTTTCGAAAATAATTTTACAATAATTCTATTTTAATGTTCCACTTTTAATGAAGAAAACCAGTAAAGATATAAACTGCATACATATGAGTACAAAGTTTGAAGCAAAAGATACTGTTTTTGTAAAGAACCTTACTGTGCAGAATATGACTTTTATTTTATAGCCGCCCTACTCGAATCTCTATTTTTGAGGTAGGGCCGAGAAACATTTTAACTCGTACAGGTTCCTTATTCATATACATACGAGTATACAACAAGGTAACAAAAGAGATACGTAACCGGTGTTGTTGATTTTTTTACTCGAGTTCATTGCACGAGGAACCGAGGTAAATCAATACTGGGGTGTTATAAAATAGGTTCCATATAAATATAATATATACCTACGTGCTGCTTTTTAATCGAATCCCATGCGAATGAAACGGGGCAAAATGTTACTTAGACAAACCGGGACAAATAACTGTTCTATATTTCACATATATATTTGTACATATTGCAATGTGTCGATGTGTAAAGCTGTATCCGCTTTTAGAGAGGGACTACATACACGTAGCCTGTTCCTTTTTCCACATTTCAATTTGTGAAATAAAATACTAGTATCTGTGACCAAATATATAAATAAAATAAACTACAAAAATATTGATACCGTCACTTGCCCAAGTGTAGGAAATCGTCATTTTCAAAGATTGAAACATTTTTCCTGGTAGATCATTTAATTGTTTGACAACTGATTTAAACTTGTATCGACCATTAGCTGTGATGTTCAGATCTTGTCCAGGGCCTTGCCAATTGGCTGTTCTATAAATGAAAGTAAAAAAGTTTGATATGTTTTAAAATCGGGACAATAATATTAACATCAGCTGGCAAAATTCACGTTAAATGTCATCCATTTTTCTTGATACTATGCAGCAAAAGAAAAACACAACAACAGCTAAACAAAACAAAAAACAAAAACAAAAACAAAAAGAAACATTTGGTAAAATCAATCTGCAATGTCGCCAGATTTATTTTTCTGTAAATCGATGGTTAGATGGATGTTGTATTACATGTAAAATGTTAAGTCAGTTCTTAATCAAGACAAATTTTAAAGGTGACTGGTGAGGCCGACACTATTAACAGCAGCATCCTTATTTTTTGAAACCATTAAAGTTTCTTGGCGTGGCCTTTCAAACAAATGAAGTGGTCCTTTACAATCAAGCTGTGTTTCATACAGATGTTCACATAACCTCAATTACAGATAACAAAAATCATTTCTTATGATTTCCAGAAGTTTACATAGACCCGATTTTACAGAATCGGGTGATTTTTGATAAGATAATTATGAATTGTTGAGGGAAATAATGAATGTGAAATTTAGTTTTTCACAAAACTCAACTGACGTTTAGAGTAAACTGAAACAAATTACCTGTTGGTTACTCGAACAGCTCTTTTACCTTCTTGTACGTCATCGGTTTCGCTCACCATTACAAAACCCCAGGTCTTCCATGTAGACAAATCTGGGTCCTCAAAGCCAGGATTTATTAGAATTTCCTGACAGACACTTAGTTGAACCAACAGGGCGGCTAGAAGAATAATTGTTGTTTTCATATTTTTCGTTGTTCCGAAAGGCCTTCGACCTCTGGTTTAATGCTTTCTTAGTGGCTTCGAACAACCAATTGAGTAGTTTTAAAACCAATGTTATCTTATGTACTTTTGATTCATTTGGCACATGGACGTGCTCTATCTTCGAGATAAAAAGCGAAAAGGGCATCGATAAACCTGGGACCATGGTTTCTATTATATAGAACTAAACAAAGTCAAATATGTCGTATATCCGTATACTTTGACAAGCTAAAACAATGCAAAGGTGCCAACTATGCACTTAAACTTTATCAACCAAAACAGTTACAGATTGTGTTTATAATTAACCGGCTGTTGATAACAAGCAATTGATATAAAACTGTACAATTAATGTCTTCAATTCAATTAACTTTTGACAGATACACATCAATAAAACGTCGATGTTGGGTGTCAAGCTCTGCCTGTGATACTAGGACTGGGTGAAACGTTCTAAGCCTGAAAAATATATATCAATTGGGTTGAAACACACTGACGCCACCAACAAGTACAAACATTGAATGAATTATAGACATAAGAACTGCAACTGTTGTGTAGTGGTCTAGAGTGTCACGCTTCGACCTCTAGCTGACCAAAGTAAAGAAGTGGGTTGTGGAATTTAAGCGTGACAATGACAGGCGCCCTGGGAGGTCATCAACAGCGACCTTTCATGAAAACATTATCCGGAAGCATGACATAGTGATGGCTGATTGACGATTGATCACTCAACATATTGCCAGTGTTGTGGACATCTCTCATGAAAGGGTTGGGCACATTATCGCCAACGAGTTAGGAATGACAAAAGTCTCTGCAAGATGTGTGCTAAAGCTCTTGACTGCGGATCAGAAACGTATCTGATCCCTAACGTCCCGTGACAATCTGCTCCGTTTTGAAGGAGATCCTGATAATTATTTGGCCAGATTGCTAACCGTGGATGAGATCCGGATTCATCAACCAGAATCCCAAATTCAGTCTAAACAATAGAATCTCTAGCCCCCGCCCCCCCAACCCAAGTCGGTTCCTTCTGTTGTAAAGGTGATGGCTTTAGTCTTTTGGGATTCCAAGGGTATTCTGCTGATTGACTACCTTGAAAAAGGCCAGACTATCATTGTAAGATATTTTGCTGACCTACTGAGACAGTTGCGTGAAGCTATCAAAGCTAAGCGAAGGGGAATGATCACTAAATGCGTCTTGTTCCACCAAGACAATGCTCCTGTTCATCAATCGATGATTGCCATGTCAGCGATCTATGATTGTGGCTTCGAACTCATTGACCATCCACTCACTCACCCGATTTGGCCTCGTCAGACTTCCACAAGTTTTAAAAAATGAAAAAGGAACTAGCCGGTCGTCATTTTTCTAGTACACTTCGAAGAGAACTATGTAGAAAAATAAATGTGAACCATTGACTTTGGACTGGTCTTTCACAGATAGGCGTAGAACTTATCAGCCAGCCCTCTATCACTACTGCGAAAGCAGACGTCAAACAACAACTAGTCAGTCATCCATGGACAATGAGGGGCATCGCAATGAACACAACCACCAAATAGTAAGTATTGGAGTTAGGATGGTCCCTGGCGGTTGATAACATACATTACTGTACTCGTACTCAATTTACAGAGCACTGTTCTTCGTCGATTTTCATTACATTATATTTTCTGGAATAATTAGAAAAAATGGTGCCCATGAGATGAAAGGCTGGGGTCTCACGTACGCGTTGGAGTGCACGTAAAAGAGCACGTAAAAGAGTCATTGTCAGTTGTAATTCGGCAAACGAAAGACAGAAGACGGTACACATTGCCTACTTGGTGCGAAAAAGTAAGACGTTAAACCCCATTTCATTTCTCTAGATCAGTATTGCTACCAGGCCTCGGTTTCACAAAAAATTCTCAGGCTTAAAGTAGGGTTGGGCCAATATGCAACATTTTCGAAAAATGAAAAACGCCCGGGTGTTTCTATGGCGAAATTGACCGAATAACACGAATCCGGAAGAATTTTGCCCGAAAAAGTGCTCTTTAGATTGGTGCAGGGACATTTTTCAAAATGGCGGCCGGAATGGCGTCAAAATCGATATTCTTTGCATATACTGTACATAATCACTTCTAATATCCACTGTAGGGTGTCTTTTATATGGTTTTGGGGGTCAGGGAATTCATATCTGCAATAATAATTCATCTCAGAAAATCCAATATGGCGGAAATCCAATATGGCGTCCAAAATGGCGCCAAAATAAACAATTCTCACCTTAGCGGTGCGAAAACACCCCCGTTATCCACTGTATGGCGTCTTTTCTGCGATTTTCGGGGTCAGCAAATTCAAGTTTCGATATGAAACTACTTCGGAAAAATCCAATATGGCGGAAATCCAAGATGGCGGCCACAATAGTGCCCGAAACTCCTATATTTCGAACGCGTAGAGCGTAATCACATGCCGTGGTCGATGTATGGTGTCCCTAATAGGGTTTTTGGTGTAGGCGAGTTAGAATCTGCAATTATTGGACATGTCTGAGGATCCAATATGCCAGAAATTCAGAATGACGGGAGGAATCCCACGGAACACAAGCAAAGTCACCCGTCGAGATAAATGAAATCTCCAGTAATCTAAAAAGAAGTATTTTCTAGGAAGTACTGAGAAGAGCATTCTGTTTGAATCATTATATATCTCAAACCTGATTCATTTTTATTACGATTTTCGATCAATCCAATAATATATCATTTATAAATAAGTACTTATTATTATATCATATTATTATGATTCATATCCAGTACAGTTCAGTCAGTTAACATCATATTTTTTCGTTACAACGCAGATGTTCAGAGTAGGCCAGATCACATGTCTTTTTCTCTAACCTTACATTACTGATAATCTGGGGACCCTGAATCGTCACCCGAATTACTATGAGAATGTTCATATCTGTACGTGCAATGCTCCATTATTGCTTTCGCTATGCCGTCTGCAAATGAATTAAAACTCCATTCAAACAAGCTTCCCACATAGTGCCATCTTAAGCAGTTCATCGACAGCATCGCTAACATCACTGTCTGGTTTTATAACACCGAGTATTGCTCTTTTTAGTTCCGATATTGTAAACTTTTGGAATCTGAGCTTACCATCGACTCTTACTCCTCTCTTCTGTCTGATATCAGGTGCAATAGTGTGCCTGAGATAACAAACTTCAGACAAGAGTTGTCGTTCTGTTAGGTCGTCCAAAACACTTACAGAATTCGGAGTAACTGGACCGTGTTTTTTGCATTCAGCAAGATTTTGAGTTTTCTGTATTTTCTTCCTTTTCTCATCTTCCTTACGCTTGCGTACATACCGTTGACAAACCTTGGATGCGAGTCGAGGTTTGCACAATTGGGCAATCAGATTCGAACAGCTGGCGGTATGACAACGATTCGGACACATTTAATGAAGTCAGTGGTAGCGACCAATCGTTCTTAGTGGACTCAAGTTTCGTGGAGAAGAGCGATGATGAGAGGAGGGCAATGTGGAAGAAGTCAAGGAAAGGACCTGATGTACAAGAGGCGAAGAAACTCGAAAGAGACTTTCTGGCCACCGTGAACGCCACTCGGTGTTATAAAACCAGACAGTGATGTTAGCGATGCTGTCGATGAACTGCTTAAGATGGCACTATGTGGGAAGCTTGTTTAAATGGAGTTTTAATTCATTTGCAGACGTGATAGCGAAAGCAATAATGGACCATTGCACGTACAGATATGAACATTCTCATAGTAATTCGGGTGACGATTCAGGGTCCCCAGATTATCAGTAATGTAAGGTTAGAGAAAAAGACATGTGATCTGGCCTACTCTGAACATATGCGTTGTAACGAAAAAATATGATGTTAACTGACTGAACTGTACTGGATATGAATCATAATAATATGATATAATAATAAGTACTTATTTATAAATGATATACTATTCAAAAAAAGTAGGGGATATTTGATTTTTAAGTGTTATTAAAGTCACCTAATGAAACTGACGAAGAAACAAATGACAAAATGAAATGAAGTTCACATTCATCGATTTATTCCAAATGATCGTTAGACTAAGTAAGGCACATTCTGACCATTATAAGGGTAAAATGATACCCGGGGTCAAACAGCAAAGTTACCACAGCATCACAACCAAGTCAGTAACGGGTAAATCCTCCTCTGTTTGCCAAACAAGCATTGATCCGACGTGGCATACTCCTAATGAGACGTCTAAGGTCATTTTGGTCCAGATTGTCCCATTCCTGTTGCAACGCAGCAGCAAGTTCTTGGACATTGGCAGGACGTTGTTGACGTTGACGTAACCTCTGTCCAAGCATGTCCCAGACATGCTCGATGGGGGAGAGGTCGGGACTCAGTGCTGGCCAAGGTAATGTGGTGATGTTCTGTTGTTGGAGGTAACCTGTAACGATCCTGGCCCTGTGACATCTTGCGTTGTCATCCTGGAAGATGAAACGGCGGCCATGACGTCGTGCGAACGGCACAACATGGACTGCCAAGATGTTGTCCCGGTAGTACTGGCCTGTAACACGCCCTGCAACAACATGTAAAGCCGTTCTTCCAGCAACAGTGATGCCTCCCCACACCATAACAGAACCACCCCCAAATCGATCATGTCTGATGACGTTAACGTCTTGGAAGCGCTCGTTTCGACGACGCCACACCCTCCTACGTCTGTCCAAAAAATCAACAGTGAACCTTGACTCATCTGAAAACATCACATTGCTCCAGCGTCGATTATCCCAGTGTTGACGATCCCTACACCAACGACGTCTTGCCTGAATGTGATGATCTCTCAAACAAGGGATCACGCGAGGACGTCGGGCGCGAAGGTGACCCTATGCAGTCGATTCCGAATCGTCTGGCCTCTCACTCTCACACCAGTGTCTGTTTGAAGACGAGTGCTGATCTGATTTGCTGTGATGACACGATTTCTCAAGGCCAAGGTACGGATAAATCGATCCTGGGCTTGAGTTGTCGCCCTTGGTCGACC